TGCTACATACTCAGACTCTAACTCAGACCCTGGAGAATAGTGAGTCAATAATGTATATGGATTGACAAACTGTGAAACAGTGGACTTCTTCATTTAGTGAAATTAACTTACAAACATGAGTAACATCTGGGAGGGTCTTGATACAGAATTGGTGTGATTTTCCCATAGCAGCCGTAGAAGACATTAAGTTTTACCACACAGGGTGCATGTGTCACCAGGAGGAGGCAGTCCTCCTTGCTGGCCATATGTCCCTCCAAGGAGCTAGCTTTTTGCCTTTGACTAAGGCAAACCGATTTGACTAGGCAGAAACAGATACCTCCTGGGTAGGGTTGATAAAAAAAAAAAGGCGGTGTAGGCATTTTTATTTGTTGTTTTCTCCAGGAGTGGGAGAATTTCCCAGAGCATGACTGCAGTGCCCTGGGTGACTTGGCTCCTCTTACTGCGGCTGTTGCCTTTGGGGCCCCCAGCGATGCCTTGCATGCTTGCGATTAGCTAAGTTCTTGCACACAATTTGAGGCAGCTGTCTCATGAATGAGCAGGTCTTCCACTTTTCCACAGTTGAGTCTGTGAAATGTGGAGTCTTTTGGATTCCTCCCATGCCTAGTCCCAAAGTACTTGGCTTCTTTCTAATGCCAATCTTTTCAGCAACGAAGGTCTCCTCTGCTCCCTCTTCACAGGCCCCAACTTTACTGGAGCTTCCTTTCCAGCCAAACTCAAAATCTTTTAAATCATTCTTCTGGGCTCTTTGCTTTTAATTCTTAATGTAGAGCTGGCTAAAAGCCCCAACAGTACCCAAGACACAGCCTGAGTGTTTGACTGCCTTGAAATTTCCACCACCAGATTAATCAGACCACTGTCTGATACCTCTTGAAGCTGATCTTCTTTGGATGCATTACTGTCAACATTTTGTTTTTCTGAGCTCTGACTAGAATCTCCCATCGAGTTCAATTCACAGCATTTTAGGGCTGCTTTTCTAGCCAGCATTTCCAATCCTTCCCAAACTCCTCCTGCAAGCCAGTTCAAAGGGCTTCTGAACCACATGGTCATGTAGCCTCCCAGCAATGACCCTGTCTATCTACCAAAATCTGTCTAGCTACCAAAATCTGTCCAGCTACTTTCCTTGTCCCTGAGACACAATACCTGACACCTGAAAATCTAAGGAGGAAAGGTTTATTTGGCTCGCAGTTGTAGAGGTTTCTGTCCATCCTTGGCTGGCTCCAAGTCAGGGAGGCATGGCAGAGGGCATCACAGAGGAGATTTGCTCAGGCCATAGCAGGCAAGAAGCAGAGAGAGGGACTGAGGTGGGGAGACAGGGAGATAGACCTTTCCAGGCCACAGCCCCAAAGACCTCCTCCAATCAGGCTTCACTTCCCAAATCACATTGAACTATAAACACATCAGTAGATTAATCCACTGATAAGTATCACTCCCCCATGATCTAATCACTCTCAGAAGCCCCACCCATGAGCACATGAGGATTTAGAGGACGTCTAGCGATAAACGATTAATAGGTGCACTCAGAAGAACACTTCTCACCTGCCTGTTTTTCTCTTTGCTTTCTTTCCAAGCTTTGCACTGAGGACTTTTCTAAAAAAGAATGGACCAGTGTAAAGGTGGAGATGCACAACTACTGAGTAGCACTGCTTCTTTACTTTTGTTGGAAGCAACTGTGTAATCCCTTTGTAGCCTTCAAATCCTAGCTGTATTAATAGTTTCATTGCCAGGTGTGGTGGTGCATGCCTGTAATCTCAACACTTGGGAGGATGAGGGAGGAGGATCACTGTGAGTTCAGGGCCAGCCTGTGCTGTACAGTGAGTTCAAAGCCAGCCTGAACTGCGTAGCGAGATCTTGTCTAAAGAAACTTAATACAACTCCACTCATCCTTAGCTGGGAGTTGGAACTTCTGCCCCAACACATTCTGTGACAATTTGCTAGAGGTTCCTGCTCTTTCCTCTCAGCTGGCATTGATACATCTTCTGTTGAGCAGAAGCAAGATTTTCGAAGGTCCCTAGCCTAACATTTATGCAAAGTCTGCCAACATGGAACTCTTCCTAATATACTGTGTTGATAGGGAAAAGTGAAGGGTTACACAGAGTCACAATTAAGAATGAAGAAAAAAAAAAAATCATATTTCTACCTGCCGCCAGAGGGCACTCTTGGCTTTGTGTGGAACTCTTCCCCAGCCACCACCCCCCCACCGTTTTGTGTTTTTTTTTTTTTTTTTTTTTTTTCAGAAAATCCTTTATTGGATTTTACTCACCTCTGCTCTTCTTAATTCTTTTTGTGATTAATTTTTTATTAGTGCATGTTTGCTGTGCATGATGGTTACACTCATTGTATAGGAGTTTGTACACATGTACAGCCCATCTTAATTCCTTTTTCTTCTTCCTTTCGGTGCTCCCTGCCCCCTCCAGCACTTGAGGATTTCTCTGGGACTTTCTTGTGGGGAAAGAAGAGAGCTTTGCGGCTTTATGAGGTGGTTGGTAATTTGATTCTAGGTTAGGCCAGCTCTGGCTGTGGTCCTTTCCATCCAGATTTATAATTAATTTTGCCTAATGAATGACATTTGAGAATATTCTCAAGGAATAGCTAACCCTACATTTGACCTAAATATAAGAATTTGCAAAATAGATAAATGGATAATCAGAACTTTGGGCAAGACTCTTACTTTATTTTAGAAAAAAGAATAGTAGATGTGATTTTAGAAGAGATTATATGGTTGGTAACAGGCTTTGCCAACTACACAGTCTTTGCAGGGGGTAGGGGCAGTATTTAAAGTCTTTTGGTAGGCTGCTGCAAAATAATTTCGAGAACATATTAAGTATGCACATACTTATAATCTCAAAAAAAGTATGACTTTTATACTTGAAAGTATCACTTTTTTTTTTTTTTTAAAGTGACTCTTGTGGAAACTAGAGAAGAAAGGAGTCCTGTCTTCCAACCCTGTCAGAGAGATCAAGTTAAGGTAAAAATGATACAGAAGCGGTCATGATAACTGGAGAAATATAAGAAGTAGTGTGGCCAAAGTTCTAATACCCTCTGAAATCAGAAAACATCCCTTGCTTGGTGTAGCTAACCAGACCGAAAAACTACATCTACTAGTGTTCTAGCAGAAAAGAAAGATTCTATCTTTAGCCCCAGTTTTGAACCAATATCTGTTAGAAGGAATACCTAACGCCTTTTGAACACTCATTAAGTATAAGATATACTGTTTGGAACTGCTGATGCAGTCTATGATAGATCAAATGCTCAGAATGTGCAGGACCTGGGTTCCATCTCTTGTACAAAAAAAAAAAAAAGTTAACATTGGCACAGCAGGAAAATGTTCTAGAAGATTTTCCCTCACCAGTTTCCCTGAGATGAGTACATCTGTACAGGGGATGAAAACTTCTGTCCTGGTGGGCTTCGTGTGTGAGAATGACCGAGAACCTGACTGCTCTCCTTCATAGTGCTGTGAGGTCAGGGCTCTGGTGGGGATTGGAAAAAGCAGGCTGAAGCCTGACTTCCAGGTCTGGCTTCATAGAATTTGAGGTCATTAGGACCTGAAGACTTTTCTAGCCAGAACAAAGGACAGAACCACCAAAGCAGGGCAAGAACAGTTTCACTGGTCTGGGGCTCAAAGGAGTAGTGCTGACGGCAAATCTAATAGCCAAGTCCGTATTCTGCTTACCTGCCAGTGCCACCCACTCAGAAATCTGCATGAGCATCCAAAGCACCCACGCATGAGAACCGAGAATCCAGCCAGTGAAAGGACACTGCATGCTCAAAAGAAAGTTGACTGTTGTCTTAATTTGTTGAGGGTCAATTTAAATGACATTTATGAAGAAAATGCATTTGTAATTCTGAGCAATCTCATGGTCCCTGGCTGCAGAAGAGTGAAAGACCCAAAATTCTTTCTCTTCTCTGAGACACAGCATCAAGGTAGACATGTTAGTTGATCAGGAATGAGAAAGAAGAAAGTTCCTAAGTTGCCCTAAAAGTGAAATGGAAACAGCACCGGAATGCAGAGGACAGAGATGGAGAAGGAGCTTATCCTTGTCTCATGGGAAGAAACCAACCAGTAAAGAGGCCAGGGGCCTGCACTGTACCTTGCTTTCAGCTACTATCTAGACATCAGAGCTACATTAGAAATCTACCTTCTCTTCTTCTTTACATTGGCTGTCAAGAAGCTTAAAGCTGCTTAAGATCCTTTAAGTCATGACTAGCAACTAGACAAGCAAGATAATATTCTTATGGCACACTGGCGTTTGAAAAAGAAAGGTGCCACAATGCCAAGGTTTATAACCTACAAAGTGATGGTGAACCTTCTAGAGCTTTCAATGATAACAGCCAGCTCGCTGTGGTACACGTGCCATAGGTTCGCCACAGCTGCTCTAGGGATCCCAAGAGTGGGTATCCAAGGAATATCCAAACTCCATCAATGGCAGTTCTGAAACACAAAGTGGGAGGTTCTGAATCATGAATTTGCCTATTATGATGTATATATCATGAACATTTTATAAATTGGCCTATATCATAAATGTCCTATATATCATTATATTTTAGGATTGTGGGTCAGTTTATGTTTTTATAGTACTTATTCTTCATAATATTCAGCTTTATATCTTTTATTTTTCATTACATAATCATTTAATTTTAAGCTCAGTTGTGTCAGTTATTCTTTAGGTAAAATATTAAGTATAAATGTAAAATAATATGTTGCTACTTTTGTTTGCTAGGTATTGTGATTTCATTGCTGTAAACCCACAATAATAATAAGAATGTATGCTTCTTGCCAAAGCAGGAACACAATTCTTGAGGATTAGATAAAATCCTTTGATTAAAAATGCATCGCTGGGGGCTGAGGATTTAGCTCAGCGGCAAAGCGCCTGCCTGGCAAGCGCAAGGTCGTGAGTTCGATTCCCGGTACCGGAGAAAAATACCAAAACAAACAAACAAAAAAATGCATCGCTAATGCTAGGCATTACATGGTGGCTGTTTTTATTTTTCTATTTAATGCTCCTAACATACAGGTGAGATGATGATTATTGTTGCTTCCATTTTTTTTTTTTTTGGCATTACATGGTGGCTGTTTTTATTTTTCTATTTAATGCTCCTAACATACAGGTGAGATGATGATTATTGTTGCTTCCATTTTTTTTTTTTTTTTTTTTCTTTTTTCCGGTACCGGCAATTGAATTCACGACTTTGCGCTTGCCAGCAACTGTGCCCCTGAGCTGAATCCCCAGCTCTGTTGCTTCCTTTTGGGTGGATGAGAAATGCAGCCTTCAAGGAGTGACAGGCTAACCTCAGACTCAAAGATACAAATGTTAAAAACTGGAATCCAGAGTAGTCCCTGGCTTCAAAGTTCTTGTTCAAAACTTAAAAAAACTGAAAGAAGATGTATTAGTATATTGCTTTACTCCGTAATGTCTCCATTTGTTGTGTGGAGTTCCTACATGTACCCTCCTCGATTCCTTTTTCACTCCTTCCGCTCTCCCCATCTCTTGGTTCTTTTCCATTAGAGAAAGATGTACCTCCCTACTTCCTTTTATCTAGCTTTCATTTCGCTCTTTATTTATAATTCGGGGTTCTCATATAAGAGGAACCGTGCCATATTTAGGCTTGAGTGTCATGTGACGTTACGGTCTCAAGGCACATCCATTTCCCTACAAATAACTCAAGTTTATGTTCTTTTATGACAGATCTTTTAAGGCCCCCTTGTGTGGTGTGTCCACCATCCGGGTTAGAAGTCTCTCCAGAACTTCCCTAATACAGACTTTCTGTGTTCAGTGCCTGGCACAATCACCGAAATTTGGTGGCCAAAAAAGCAGTGGGGGTCAGATGCTGCTGTTTGTGCCGCAGTGCTTTTTGGAGAGGAGGGAGGGAGCGGGGAAAGAGGGCACCAGGCTGCAATCCGGGGAAGGGCAGGAAGAGGAGCGGGCTCCTTCCCAGCTTGCAGGAGGGCTCCAGGAGCGCACAGTGGGCAAAACCAAGCGGTTTGCCTGTTCAAGCCTTTCCGTCTGTCGCTGAGAGGCGAAAGAGTTTTAGCGGGCTCCATGTCGATTTGGGGCTTTAAACCCCACCTCCCCGCTGCCCCCAAAGAGGAGCTTTGCCGCGGCGGCCTGGGCTGGCAGCGGCGCCAGCCGGCTCTGGGCTCTGGGGTGGCCGCCTGGCGTCACGGCCAGGGCACCGCTGCCCCTCGCATCGGATCTGCTTGCGCGGATCCTCCAGCTTGCTGCGAGCGGGGCCAGACGCTGCTCTCGGGGCCCCGGCTGACCACTCTTCTTGCAGGACTTGCAGAGCCGATCGCCACTCCGGGTGGCAGGGCCGGGCGCCCCTCTCTGCAGATCAACCGTTTGCGGTTCGCGACCACTCAAGGCGCACGCAGAAAAGACCAGAACGGCGCAAGGTTCGTGGCTTTACAGTTTTCAAACGCAGTTATGCTTGCGTCCTGATCAAAGCACACTGAAGCAGTCAAGAGCATCTTCCGGTAGTGCTGGAAATATTAGTTTGGGAGCGATGATGACACAAGTAAACTGAGTTTTCAAAACTCATGGAAACTCTTTAGATCTGTACAATTGTGTCGTGTGCATTGAAAACTAGGAACCTAATTCTGCATGCGTATTAAAAGCTTGTAAGTGTCACTGGACACGTGCGTATGTAAGACAATTAGATTCAGCCCTAGTTGGGTGTATTTTATAGCAACTGAGGGCAACTCCCTGGGTTAGGTATTTTGGTTTCCTGCGGCTGGGAATTAGCAAAAAGCCTGCTGACATCACGGGGGCGGGGCCTCAAGCCCTAAGAAAAGTTGGAACTGCGGACTGTAGCAGTTGCCGTCCTCACTTCACCATGAGCAAGCACAACTGCTCGGAGCTCCAGGTCCTGCGCAGTTCGGGTCAGCTGCTCCTGCAGCCCCTTTGGGATCGTCTGAGGACCTCGGAGGCACTCATCCAATCGCCCTTCTTCCCGGTCCTCTTCGCGATCGTCACCTACCTGGGCTTTTGCCTGCCTTTTGTGGTCTTGGACTTCTTGTGTCCCTGGGTGCCCGCGCTGCGACGCTACAAGATCCACCCGGACTTTTCGCCGTCTGCACGGCAGCAGCTGCTGCCCTGCCTGTGGCAGACCCTGTACCAGCACCTGGTGTTTGTGTTCCCGATGACGCTGCTCTACTGGGTCCGCGGCCCCGCTCTGCTGCCGCCCGAAGCCCCGGAGCTGCTGCAGTTCCTGCGCGACGTCCTGCTCTGCTTGCTGCTGTTCGACGCCGAGTTCTTTGCGTGGCATGTGCTGCACCACAGGGTGCCCTGGCTGTACCGCACCTTCCACAAGGTGCACCACCAGAACGCGTCCCCGTTCGCGCTGGCCACGCAGTACATGAGCCTCTGGGAGCTGTTTTCCCTGGGCTTCTTTGACTTGATGAACATCACGCTGCTCAGGTGCCACCCGCTCACTGTTCTTGCTTTCCACGTGCTCAACCTCTGGCTGTCGGTGGAGGACCACTCCGGCTACGACTTCCCGTGGTCCACGCACAGACTGGTGCCTTTCGGGTGGTATGGGGGCGTGGCGCACCACGACCTGCATCACTCTCAGTTTACCTGCAACTTCGCCCCTTACTTCACACACTGGGACAGAATACTGGGCACCCTGCGGCCGGCACCCCTCCCGGCGTGGTGCTGTGACTCTGATGGGTGCGCCTCGGACTCCGCGCTTCTGTGCGTGTCACACTTGAATCAGTAGAAACACTTGAGACTTTTTCTTCCTTTTAGTACTGGTAATTTATTAACGGATGAAAACTGATAGATAAAATCTGCTGTATTGTCGCAACCAAAGTAATTTATACTGTGTCTGTATGTCAACACGATTGTATTCTTTGTGTCAAATTCTAGCTCATTTCAATAGTCTTGAGTCCTGGATGTAAATTAGACATCCAGCAAAGGCATATTTAAGTCATCTCTAAAAAGATTTCTTTGAGGAACAAAGACTGTCCTGTGTGTGAAAGTGTCCTCAAACGGGGCTACAAGACCATATCTTAAGGGAGGCTCTGACTTCAGAATTTATGATCAAACATGTTCCTGCAGGACAGTGACCGAGATTATAGTACTTTTTTCTATTTTTCATAGAAATGTGTATTTATATGACAAAATGTTATTTGTGCTTATAAAATGAAAACAAAAAAGAACATGAATCAAACAGTTACTGCCTCCTGTTTTACTGGCATTTTTTTTTTGGACAAAAAATGCACAGGGAGGGGAGAGGTGGGATGGTAAGCGTGCTTCAGTTCCCTCGGCCCTGCTGTGTCAGGTGAGCACTGCCGTGCTGGGCATTTTGAGGGCAAGAGAGATACAGAAAAGAAGGAGAGAAGGGGCTGCTTTGTCTCTTCTGGTCTAGAGATTCACAAAGAGAAAAAGCTGTCATTTTGAATGTTTCTCAGCTGATTTCTGCATAATGAACACATGCAAGAATTATTCTGCAAAATTTTGCAGAGAGATTTACATGGGAGATATACTGGGTTATTTAGAGTGGTGTGTAGGGGGTTTATAAGATAAAGGAGTGCCTTGCTTTGTAAAACTGGTAAGTCCAGTATATGTGCACTAGGGCAGCTAATCAACGTAGAAATCCAATTTTAAGTAAGCCCGCTTTTCACAATGCCACCCTTAGCCTGTTCAAATGACCAGAATAATATTGCCTCTGTGATCCGGGATTTTTGTGTGTTTCATTTTCTCAAGACATTTATGCACAATACATTGTCCTTTCTCAAAGAGAGATAAAGTGAAATTTGGCCTTGTATCCCTGGTTCCTGGTTTGTACAGAGATGGCGTCCCAGATATTCTTGCAGAGTACTTGCGATAGTAAAATATCTCTCTCATTGGTCACACATCTTTTACCCATCTCAATGCTGCCTAATTACTTTAATGTAAATTTTAGAATGCAGTTTATGTAGGGTTAAGTTAAAAATGAAGAAGATTCAGGCAGAAGTCTATAGAGAACAGTAGCTTTGCAGGTAATCCTAGGCTTATTTTATATGAGCCACACTATTTTGTTTAAATGTAGTAAAATCCATGTGAAGACCTGGTCTGCACAGCATGCTGAAAGGGACATGCTTGGAATACCTTCAGGCCCTCCTAAATGATTGACAGTGTGGAACCATCTCTGAAGTTCACCCCAACTTGTGTTCTCTGTGCTTGTAGACTGAAGTTACTCTGCCCAAAATAGGACAGAGAAGGAACCTGATGATCACATTGATTCATAAAAGTGAAATCTGCCACAAGAGGAAGTGAGCTATGAGTTGAAAACGCTCCATTGGAGGTAGTGGGCTGATATCAAGATATATATGGTGAGTGGGGAAAGAACTGAAGGCTCAGCGAGGAGGTGTGGAACATGTGGTATAATTATTAGCTGTCCTGAGCAGATCCAGGCACCAAACAGCTGCCCTATAAATCTTGGATGATGACAGTTTGTCAGAAATCACCTTAGAAATTTTTAAGCTTGTGTCATATTACCTTACTAGATAAGGGAGTTTTAGATCTGAGGCAAATTGCTCATGTGGCAAATGTTAGGATTCAGAAACTTCCCAAGTTGATATGTCAGTTTTTAAGCCTTGAGAAATGGACTTGGGGAAGTGGAGAGGATGGGCAAGTTTTCAAATAGTTTGAGAGATTCATCATAATTATGAATAGTTACACATGGAGGCACTCTCACGCATTACTGTGCTTGGTCTTTGTTACAACACCCTGAGGGATATAGGCTACTGACGTGGTTCACATCTCCTTGTCCCCCCAATGCCTTAGTGCTCAATAGGTGGGGTGTTTGAAAGATGATTGATTACAGGGTGCTGTCCAGAGGGGGGGACTTGTTGGCAGCGGCGGGTCCCTGGGGACTTATCCTGGAAGGACATAACTCCGTTGCAGGCTCCTCCCTTCTCTCTTGTCTTCTCAGCTGCCTCAAGGTGGGGACTTCACCCTCACCATGCCCTCTGCCACAATGTTTCCCCTTTGGTGCCGGCCAAATGTGGACTGACGCTTGAGCCAAAATAAAGCGCTCTTTGCATTTTTGGTGTCAAGCATTTTGCCCCAACAGTGAGGAAAGTGACCATAACCAAGAGTTATCGCAGTCATCATCCCAAGTTACAGATGGAGGGAGGGTTGGCACCCATAGCAGTTAAGTGCCTTTTTCCAAGTCATTTGGAGAAAGTTCTCCCAAACTTGGGCCTCATGGTGTCTACTATCCCTCTCTTCTGATGTTTACAATAATTTTCACAACTTCTAGAAGGAGGCAGACCCTCAGGGCCAACAAATAGTTTCTTCCTGCTCTTCCTCCTCATCCCTGTGACTGAAATCAGTGCTTCTCTGGCCACTGCTTTGACAGTAATGCTGCTGGAGTGAAAGCAGGTTGGGGCAGAGAGGCAGGGAAAGCCAGACACTTAGGCTAGTCTAGATGTAACATGCTAGGTAGAGGTAGTGCACATATAAACACCACACCCATGCACACGAACACGATCGATCATTTTTTTTGTCCTGTTTAACATTTATGTCTTCTTCTTGCTCTGTGCCTAGTTCTTGATATATAGTCTTAGCAGGACCTGAGGAAGCACATGGCAGGTTAAGAACTGTGTTTTCTGCATCTCTGTTTGTCCTTGGGCCAAGAACATAAACGCTGAACCCAGGTTACCTGAGTGGAACATGGGTTCTGGGACTCAGTAGCTCAGCCACTTCGGAGAAGTTACTTAACCTCTGTGTGTGGGCTTCCTTACCTATCAAAGGTTGTTTATCAAAAACGAACTCTCTTGTCTTATCAGGGCCCAAATAAAGCTGAATTTTTGTTCCTCTTTCTATCACAAGTTGCTTCTCTGTCATCCTCTCACAGCAATAGTTTTGGAAACATAGAAATCTATGTTTGCTTACTCAACTTCCTCACCTCGGAGTCCACCTACCTCAGCTCTTCCTGAAATATACTCTGGGTCATCACAATCTATCTGCCTAATTATTAAATCTAATGACCTCTTCCTGTTTGATTTTCCATTTCCTTGGCTTTTTAAAAAACTGAGTATTTGTTTAGCTAACCAGCCTCGTTTTAGGATGTGGTTCTTGCTTGGCTTTAGTGAGGTTTCTCCAAACCCTTTTCCTTCCTAACTCTCCGGGTTTTCTTCTACCTTCAGTGCTCCTCTTTCACCACAGTAGGAAGCCAAACACACGACACTTACCTTTTTATTGAAAAAATCCCTATTGTGTGCAACGAGTGTCCTTCCAGCCATTTCCTAATGTACTCTGCTAATCTCCTATGGTATTGTGCTATAGTACACACGCACAATGGGTGCATGTATACATGTGTGCACACACCATGCAGGTGTGCAAGTTATATGTACATAGTACTATACATACACTATATATGTGCACATCATATACAGAGCTGTATGTAAGTCTACATACACTATTACATATGTACACGTGAATGTATTTATGTACTACATACACATGCCATATATGCACCAGTGTACTGTATACACACTATCTGCATATATGTGTACATACTGTACATGTGCAATATATTATGTGCAATCATGCTACCTATAGATACTATATACATATGAATGGTACACTCACACACACATACACACACACACAATGTGACCGTTTTTGTCCTGTCTAACATTCGTCTCTGTCTCCAGCTCTGTGCCTAGTTCAGTGTTACAAAGATTCTGTAAACATTAGGAACTCACCTTTGGTGTTAATCACGGCTTTCTTCACCCCTTCTTATTCCCTTCCATCCTCCATCATTAGTCTATCCCAGTGTCTTTCTCAAGTTAAGCTCACAGCTCATACTCTGTTCTAGGGAAGGTAACAGTTTCTTCTGAAAGAGTCCAGCAAGCAAATCCATGTCATCTAACGTGGCCCATGATATAACAGAAGATAGTAATGATGCAGTGGAGTCTAAAACAAGAATAGGCTATTGAAGATACCTAATGAAGGACTTATGTGAGTTCACTGGGCAGGGTAAAGGCTCCACCTGGCAGAAGACAGAGCAGTTGCAAAATCAGGGGGAGATGGAAGAGTGTGACATTTTTTGAACCTGATAGGAAGCTCAGAGCACTGAATGAGCCAGGAAGGAACTTCAAGGCATATGCTCAGCAAAATCAGTCAGGCCCTAGGCGTGGGGACCAGTGATGAGCCTTTGTTACAAGCCTTCTGACAAGCCACTGAGACTGTCTAGGATGGCTTACTCATTTACCTATGTCACAGGTATGAGGAGAGACCTTATGTAAAAAGGTTTGAAATAAATATTAGTGCTGCTATAATTTGTTGCCTAATAATGAGTAGATGGTTGGAAGAATTGAAAGCTGGACTGGGGCAGTGAGGAGGTTGACAAGGTGTTCCACAGATTTTAAGCAAAAGAGGGAAGTGATTGTATTTGGCTAAAATGAAAATGAGCCACTGAAAATATTGGTGTCTATTCATGCTAGGAAGCAATGACAAATTCTGTCTGGATGTATTTGTGGCTTTACTGCTTATTAATGGCGAGACCTTGAGGAAGTTACTTAATCTCTCAAATGCTCAGTTTCCTCATCTATACAAAAGGGAGTGGTTGCAATACCCTTGGAATTATGGTGAAGAAAATAACATTTTGAGAACTTGGCACATTGCCTCACATATAGAAAACTCTGTAAATAGTAGCTCTTTTGTTACAAATGGTTACAAAAGAGTTATTACAGATGAGAGATTATGAGCCTGTCCTATCTCAAAGCAAATGTAGATGAGATGGAGAGGAGGGAATGAGTTTTTTTCTATTAGAAAAGTAACTTTCAGAACCAGGGATTTAGCTCAGTTGTGCAAAGCCTACCTAGGAAAAGCGAAGTCCTGAGTTTGATTCCTGGTACCCCCCCTCCCCAAAAAGTAACTTTTATCATACAAACAACATATATATAAGATAAGTTTTCAAACACTCAAGAACAATGAAAAGCAAAGATAAAAACTTCTATTCTCCGGGGCTGGGGATTTAGCTCAGTGGCAAAGCGCCTGCCTGGCAAGTGCAAGGTCGTGAGTTCGGTTCCTGGCACCGGAGAAAAACCAAAAAAAAAAACAAAAAACAAAAAACAAAAAACTTCTATTCTCCTTATATTAATTTAGACCCACTGGAGATAAAAATCCTTTAACCCTTTCTTTGCGACCAAACCAAAAAGTAAATTACTTCATCTCCTTCCCTTCCTTCCCTCCCTCCCTCCCTCCCACCTGCTCCTTCTTTTTTTTCAGGAGACATGCATTAAATGGTTTGCACAAGTTACAAAAGTAAAATTATCATGAATAGGAATTCTTTCGATAAAGCCCAAAGGTGTTTCGTCCTTTTTCTATACCTCCTGATCATGTGAAACAAGAGGATCCCTCCTACAAGTTCCATGGGAGGTCACATCATAACATGTCATATCATATTTTCTGGTTCTTTCAAACATCTTAGCACTGGAAAGTGCTCCATTCATGTCTCTGGAATAAGATCCTAAGACTTGGCACCTGAAGAGCCTGGGGTTGAGCTGCTTGGTTATCTGTTGCGGGGAAGGGGATCATTTAGTCACTCTGAGCATCAATTTCTCTGCCTGTGGAAAGCATGGACAGTGGTGGTACCATAACTGACCTTGCTGACTGCCTAAGTCTGCGGCGATGGCCACACGAGACACAGCAGTAGGATGCTGGGTAGGTGGGTGCGTGCCGTCTACGGGGTGTGGCAAAGAGGGCCGTTGGAACCTGTGCAAGGAGGAAGATGCTGTGGCTCCTACCTCTCCCCCCATCCCCCCCCCCCGTCACTGATGTCACAAGGCCCTGCTCCCCCTTCCCTCTGTGCCGCTGCTCCCTGGCTCCATTTCAGCCTCTTTTCCTGTATGCCTTTCTTCCGTGCACCTTGGTTCTTGTTTCCCTGCTAAATCTCAGGAGCATCCCGGAGGTGGACTTCCAGGAATGGAGTGCGTGTGGTGGAGGAGCAGGGCTCAGAGAGGCCAGAGTTGGAGGGAGCAGGCATAGGCGGCACAGCTTGCAGAAATAGTCAGCACTGCCCTACTGACTGTATTTGTGTAAGCCCGAGGTGGTGTCAGCCTGAGTCTCACCAGGAGGGGGCTCTTCTCTCTTGAGACAAGGACAGGCTCCAAGCCAAGAGCTCTGGCCTGCTAGATGAGAATCTGTCAGCAAAGGGCTTTTGAAAGAGCCTCTTGAAATTGTACATTACCTGGAAAAAGCCACTGCCTGCTATGCAGTTTGAGTTCCTTCTTAGATGGAGAAAGGGAAGTTGCTTATACTTGACTATGGGTTGGCTGCGGTTTAAATCCAGCACTTCTGAGGGGCGACAACTCACGCGCTGACACTGTCAAGTTAGGAGATTCCACAAATGCTAAAGCTGAGCAGCTTCCCTATTTTATAAGTACGGAAACTGAGGTTCAGGGCTGGGAGGTAATTTTCACTGGGTCACGTGGCTGGGCTGGAACTCGAAAACCTGTGCTCTTCCTGTTCCACTCTGCCGCTTCCTTTCCCCACTCTGGATCCTTAGAGTCACTGCAGCGAGCTATCTGTTGTTGTGTGCAAAAAGTGCAGTGATGGAAAACTATTCGGAAATTGCTGCAGTCTGTATTCTTTGCTGATAATTTAAAAAACTGCTCTGCTGCCTTGTAGGAACTTGAGCAAAGCATTCCACCTTTTCTAAGATCTATCCTGCCGCATATGGTAGGTAAATAATGTAAAATCCTGTCCTTGTGAACTCTGAAAAAGTCTATTTACAAGTGTATAAGAAAGCATTCATATGACAGATACAACTTAGCAATAAATTCAACAATGAACTATCAATATATGTAACAATAAGGATGAATATTCAAATAATTATGCTGAATTTTAAAAGGGAAAAACAGTGATGCTCTATGGTTCCTTTTAAATAAAACTGCAGAGCACACAGATGCATTCTGATAAAAAGTAGATTAACAGTAGTTTGGGGGTAGGAGAGGGGCAGCAAACAGAAATTACAGGGACATGAGAAAACCTTTAGGGATGATGGGTAGGTGCACTTTCTTGATTGTAGTGATGTCTTCACAGGTATGCACATATGTCAGCATTTATGTGATTGCAGATTTTAAATATGGTAGTTTATTGTATCTTGGTTATACTAAAGGAGACGGCAATATGATGATGACTGTAAATGAATATGACTTCATGTTCTGAGTTTTTAAACTTAAAAGCCAAAAATAGCAGAGCACTTAATAAATACACACACACACACACACACACACACACACACAGTCCAAGATCCATCTTATGTCCATCTTTACTCTTGACCAATCAGACACAACCTCTTAGGAGGAACAAGGCAGGCCTGGACACCCAAGTCAATACCACTTTCTCTGAGATTTCCTTTTGCCCATATCCATACATACACAGGTGATCCCCTTGCCACTGTGGTTACACTATATGATGCTTCTCTTGCAACTACAATTTGCTAGACCTGGGTTGGAAATATGATCCACAGAGGAAAAATTAGACTGTCTCTGAGGAATTTGGGGTATGTAAATGAAGGAAATGTGAATGGTGATAGAATGAAAGCTCTTCTGCACAACCACAGGAGGATGAGCAGATAGGTACTCAGGGAGAAGAAATGAGAGATACATTTCCCTGGAAAGAGAGTAGGGGAGAAAAAGTTCTGAGACTAGTCAGCTGCCTTGGTTTTTAGAGGCTTTGTACATAAGTTCCTGGCCCAAAGCCTGTTGTGCTTTCTGTCTTTGGAATCCCTAACTTTTAGCAACTTCACTTTCTTGGCTGCTCAAATGCATTTCTGATTCTTGAAGTCAAGAGAATGATGGGTTAAAACCAAAGGCTCTGCTCGTCCTTCTGCATTTACATTGAAAGAGGAAACTCCTTGTTGCACGTCAGTCTTAGGAGGTCGTGTGTGGCTCTCATCAGTGGAAGATGAATAGCCACATCCTGAGTGCTAGCCAGAGGTGGTGGTGTCCTCAGAGTGACAGGCAAACCGACTGTGTGTGTTTTGCTAGGGACCAGTGTAAAGCGTAAAATGAGTGCTCTGGTTTCACTTAGTAGCAGTAACCCTCATCTTGGCCATTCAATCCTCATACTTTATGCTAAGACATTTCAAATTCCATCAAAGTAACTTTGACTTAAAGCCTCTTTGGAAATCCAGACTTTATCTGAATCTCATTCTTGCCATGGAGAACATATCCTTATTTCCTAACAGACCTCTTACAGTTTATGGGTTCAGCAGAGGGCCTTTGGGTTCTGTGTGGGTTTGAGGGTTCTGTGAATGCTAGCAGCTTCCTAACACACGACCCAACTTTCGCTGGCAAACTTCCCAGTTGCTATGTCATGATGCAGGTCCCTATGTCCATGTCTGTTTTCTTTTCTGCCCCTCACTTTCATTTCCTTTTTTCTTGTTCTTTCTCTAGTGTTTATCTAATAACTCTAATAACTAATAATATTAATAATATCTAATAACTAATATTATTTCTCTAATAATTACATCTATTAACTCCTGGTTTTGACATCATGTCACTTTAAGGTTCAGTAACTTGATGCACATCTCTCAGTGGAAGAGCTGTGATCCACACCATGCTGACTTGACTCTGGCACCACCCATGTTATCGCCATGCTCTACTGTTCCTCAGTAGCTTGGGTTTTATTTGTTATATTTCCTCAAGTTTATGGAAAAATGAGTCAAAGTCTCCTTAGCAGAGTTTTGTCTTTGACATTTTCTTTGAGGAAAGCTTGTTCCAGTTTCTGCTAAGAAAAGGTGGGGTCTCACACATAGGGATTATACTCTCATAAGAAGAAGGTAGATTGTGAACTCCCTCAGGGGGATATTTCCTGAGGTGGCTTTGCCCATAAAACCCACTCCTGTGCTTGTTGGGTGAGGTGCTTTGAGACTAGAGGTGGGGAGGACACCACAGCTAGTGTTCATTGATGAAAGGAAAAATCTGAACATAAATGAAAGAAGTTTGCAAAGAAAAGTTGTGTGCATAATACAGGTATGAAATATATTATTTTAGTAAGAGGAGTGGGCAGCCTTCTGTAAAAGCAGTGAAGAGAGAAATGAAAAGGAATGAAGAGGTGACTTCTAGGAGCTGGTCACAGCAGTTGAGCAATTGGCTAGCTCTTCAGACAGTGGGGATGGTGGGCTGATCATCAGGGAGTCAGAACTTCTTTCTGGTTTGACCCTCCAGTTTAGGCTGCTCTAATGGCAGCTTCTCTCAGATCCTGTCACCTGCGTACAGCATAGCACAGCAAGTCAACCAGGGCTATTCTGTTGCCTAGCACTCCTATTCAGCCAACACCTGAATGAGTGCTCAAGGTGAAATAATAAAAGATCATGATAAGAGAGATAATAATAATAATATTACATAACAATTTCTTATTATATCCCAGGTACAATACTAAAGGATTTGCACACATAATTCTTTTTCACTTTTAAAACAACCTTGTTGTCAGAGCTAACAATCTGTTTGTTTGCATAATACCTTTATTAACTGATATCAAAGATCCTATAGACATTTAACAAATACATAAACAAATTAATTTCAGATTGTATAAGGACAGTAAAGAAAATGAACTGGAATGACAGAGAGGACTTGAGAGGGGAAGAAGATTCCTGTAGATTTAGGATGGAGAAAGTCTCTTTTAAGCCGTGCTGTTTAGTGAAAATTCAGAAGACAGCATAAATGGCCAAAAAACCCTCTTTACAGAAATCATAGCAGAAAACCTTCCAAGTTTGGGGAAAGAATTTAACATACATATGAGAGAGGCATATAGAACCAGAAATGACTACAATCAGAAGGAATTTCTCTTTGACACATCAGAGTCAAGCTCCCAAAAGCCCAACATAAAGACTCTTAAAAGCTGTTAGAGAAAAGCAGTCTGTTACTCACAAAGGTAAACTCATTTACAACAGACTTCTCAACAAAAACCGTGAAGGCCAAAATATGCAGGAGGGGAATAGATGGGTTGAATGGGACCTCTAATCCTAGTTTTTTTTTTTTTTTTTTTTTTTTTTTTTTGGTTTTTCTCCAGTACCGGGAACCAAACTCACGACCTTGCGCTTGCCAGGTAGGCGCTTTGCCTCTGAGTAGATCCCCAGCCCCTAATCCTAGTTTTCTGAGGATTCTCCACACTGATTTCTACAGTGGTTGTACCAGTCTACAGTCCAACCAAGAGTGGAGAAGTGTTCCTTTTTCCCCACAGCCATTGATTTCTTGATGATAGCCATTCTTTCTGGGGTTAGATGGAATCTCATTGTGGTTTTAATTTTTGTTTCTCAAATGACTAATGATGTTGTACATTTTTTCATATATTTATTTGCTATTTGTATTTCTTTATCTGAGAAGTATGTATTCATCTCAGATGCCAACTTTTGGATTGGGTCTTTGAATTTTGGGGGCCTGATTTTTTAAAATTCTTTGTATGTTTTAGGTGGAAGTCCTTTGTCAGAGGGACAGTTGGCTATTTTTTTTTTCCATTTCATAGGTTTTCTTTTTACTCTGTTAGTGATTTCTTTTGATGGCAAAATCGTTTCAATAAGATAAGATCCCAGTTGTTGATTCTTTGAAGTATTTCTCATGCAGTTTGGTTTTTATTCATGAACTCTGCCTGCCACTATGTCTTCAAGATTTCTACTTACTTTCTCTTCCAGTAGATTTAGCGATTATGTTTTAATATTCAGATCTTGATCCATTTTGTCTTTAGTTTAGTGCATGGTGATAGACATGGGTCTAGTTTTA